TGTAATGCCAGTAATGAGAAGAGTACAGCCGAAATTAGGAAAGCAAGCCTTTTTGTATTAGCCCCACAAAAAATAAAATACTTAGGAGTTAACAAAAGAGGTGAAGGACCTCTATGACGAAAACTTTAAAAACCTGTAAAAGGAGAACGAAGCAAGTTGGAAAACCTCCCATGTTCCTGGATTGGGAGGATCAACATCATGAAAATGGCAATACTGCCAAAGGCTATCTACAAATTCAGTGTGATACCTATCAATATTCCAACTTCATTCTTCGAGGAAAGAAGAGGCAATCCAAAAATTCATATGGAACAATAAAAGACCCCTAATAGCAAAAATAATCCTTAGTAGAAAGAACAGTGCTGGAGAAATATCAAACTTCAAACTCTACTACAAAGCCATAGAAATCAAAACAGGTTGGTATGGCACAGGAACAGACCTGAGGACCAATAGGATAGGACTGAAGACCCAGAAATGAGCCCACAGACCTATAGCCACCTAATCTTTAACAAGGGAGCTAAAGAAATAGAATGGAAGAAAGACAGCAATGGTGCTGGCAAATTTGGTTAATCACTTTTAGAAAGTTAAAGCTAGATCCTTACATATCATCTTGTACCAGAATTAACTCCAAATGGATCAAAGACCTTGGAGTCAAAGCAGACACTCTAAAAACACTATAGGATGGAATAAGAGAAACCCTAGGTCTCCTTGGCACAGGCCAAAATTTTCTTAAAAGAGACACAGAAACACAACAAATCAAAGAAAGGTTGGACAAATGGGACTGCATGAAATTGCAGAGTTTCTGCATGGCAAAGGACTTAGCTAGCAAGATCAATAGAAAGCCCACATATTGGGAGAAGATCTTCATTAGCCATATAATGGACAAGGGTCTCATATCTAAAATATACCTGGAACTCAAAAAATTAAATCCCCCAACAACAAATTCTCAAAGAAACAACTGCCTAATAAATAAGTGGGCTAAAGACTTAAAGAGAAACTTCTCTGAAGAGGCAAGAAGGATGGCCAATAGACACATGAAGAAACACTCAACTTCCCTAGCCATAAAAGAAATGCAAATCAAAACAACATTGAGATACCACCTCACTCCAGAAGCAAGCACTCTAATAACAACAGATGCTGGAGGGGATGTGACAGAAGGGAACCTTACTGCATTGTTGGTGGGAGTGTAAACTTGTTCAACCATTTTGGAAAGCAGTATGGAGGTTCCTCAAAAGACTCCACATAGAGCTCCCCTATGACCCAGCAATCCCACTTTTGGGCATTCACCCAAATGATCACAAACAAGACCATACGAAAGCTATCAGCACAACTATGTTTATTGCAGTATTATTTGCCAGAGCTAAGATATGGAACCAACCCAGATGCCCCTAAGCAGACGAATGGAATTCTATGCCTCTGTCAGAAAAAATGGCATTGCCTCTTTTGTTAGGAAATGGAAAGTCTTGGGAAAAATTGTATTAAGTGAAGTAAGCCAGGCCCAAAGAAACATAGGTCCCATGGTTTCCCTTGTTTGCAGTGACTGGTACATGTCTAGGAGAAGCAGAGTCAGTCAAAAGCTATGTACATACGACCATATGAGATGTTAAGCAAAATGTACCCCCAAGACAGGGACACAAGAGGTTTTCGTTTGTTTTTCTTTCTTGCTAGTGTTTCTAGTATACTTACAATATACTATATGATTCTTTTGTTTCTATTGTAAGTTCTTCCATGGTATAACCCCTGTTTTCACTGGATTTGATGCTGGTTCTCTGCACCTTGTATATATATTTTTGTAATTTGGGGAGGGGAAGGGGTATTGCAGAACGCTTAAATGAGGATGCAGGCTGACCCATTGTGACTACGAGATGTACAGGACACTATATTGAAAACAAACTTTACAATGCTGAGGGCGGGCAGAAGAGTTGGGGAGGTAGGGAAGGGAGTGATAGTAAAGGGAAAATAAAGGAGGAGGTAACAATGCTCACTATGAAATGTACTCATTACCTTACTCATGTAACTGTAACCCCTCTGTACAACATTTTTTACAATGAATAAAAAAGAAAAAAAAAAGAAAAGGTCAAAAGCTATGTACATATGACCATATGAGATGATATTAAGTGAAATGAATCCCAAGATAGGGACACAAGAGTTTTTTACTTTCTTTGTATTGTTTTTAATATATTTATAATGTACTATGTGATTCTTTTGTTTCTTTAGTATGTTCTTCCCCCACAGTATAATCTCTGTTTTCACTGTATTTGATTCTGGTGCCCTGTATCTTGTATATACATTCATCTAATTTGGGGAGGGGAAGGGAAATAACAAAATGTTTAAATAAGGATACAGGTTTGTAACAATGAGATGTACAAGACACTATGTTGAAAATGAACTTTACAACTTGGGTGGGGCTTAGGGGGTGGGAGGAGTTCAGGAAGTAGGGAGAGAAGGGATGGTGGGGGAAAAACAAAGGAGGAAGTAACAATGTTCATTAGGAAATGTACTCATTACCTTACTCATGTAACTGTAACCCCTCTGTACAGTATTTTTACAATTAAAAAACATATTTTAAAAGAAGAAATAAAAAAACGACTCTTAAAATGGCCCTGTGACTCTTCTGATCACTACTGAAGTCCATCTCCCCAAAATACAATTATAGACCACCTCCTCCATGAATGTCCTCATGTTCCCCAAGTAGAAAGCCAAACATGTTCAGGGCACTGCAATTCTTCAATACAAAGAGATCATTGGGTTCCTCCTGAAAAGACATAACCATTTAACACAGGCAGCTATTCAGCAGGAGTAAGAAACCAAGAAGAAAGATTTCTCAGAGTCCTCAGGTCTTTCAGGACTGTCCATGAAAGCACAAATTTTCATCAATGTTCTCACATTTGTGTGTGTGTGTGTGTGTGTGCGCGCGCACGCGCGTGCATGAGTGCCAGTCCTGGGGCTTGAACTCAGGGTCTTGGTACTGTCCCTGAGCTAGCACTCTACCACTTTGAGCCGCAGCTCCACTTCCAGTTTCTGAGTGCTTAATTGGAGATAAGAGTCTACAGGGACTTTTCTGCTCTGGCCAGCTTCAAACATTATCCTCAAATCTCAGATCTCAGATCTCAGCCTCCCTGGTAGCTAGGATTACAGGCGTAAGCCACCAGCACCTTACATGTTCTCACATTTTTTAATGAGCCTGTAAGAATGAAATGGAAAGTTCATTCTCTCATCTTGAATTTGATGTGTAGAGTCCTGAATCTTAGCTTTAAGAACATATAAGAATTGCATTTATTACATTCAGCAAAACAGTATATACCATGATTGCATGTGCCTGTTTCAACTTTACTTCCAGTAAGTCTCCTTGTGCTGCAAACTCACCAAATCCAGATATTTAAAAGGTATTTTATTTTTTTGGGGGGGGGTCCAGTCGTGAGCCTGAACTCTGGGCCTGGGTGCTGTCCCTCAGCTCTTCAGCTCAAGGCTAGCACGCTACCACTTGAGCCACAGTGCCACTTCCTGCTTTTTTTTCTTTTTGCTTATGTGGTGCTGAGGAATCGAACTCAAGGCCTCATGCATGCAAAGCAAGCGCTCTATCACTGAGCCACCTTCCCAGCCCCTTAAAAGGTATTTTAAAATGAACATTTTTAGTGTGAATATTTATAAGTCTAATAAAGGATTAAGATTAAACTATTAAGATAATAGCCAGGTGCTAACTATTGTAATCTTAGCTACTCAATTATTATTTCTTAATAATTCAATATCAGTATTTTTCTTCAAGGTCCATTTACACATAGATTAATTCTTGCTAAAACAAGAATTGTTTAAGATATCTTGACATAATTTGGGCAAGTGTAGAGTCATTTAACCAGTGCCTCAAAAGAGATTAAAGTAGTCCCCCCCCCAAATAAATTGCAAGAGTTAAAATATATAAACATTAATTTTTAAATATTTACTCCATTTAATGTCTGGCTTTGCCAACAAGTGATCACATTTTCTATTCAAACAAAATTAATTTGGTCACTCAAATTAATCTAAACAACAACAAAAAGACTCTGGCAGGTACTAGCAGCTCATGCCTATAATCCTAGCTATTCAGGAGGCTGAGATCTGAAGAACATTGCTCAAAGCCAGCCCAGGAAGGAAAATTCATGGGACTCTTACCTCAAGCTAGCCATCAAATGCCAGAAGTAGGGAGGTGGCTCAAGTAGTGGAGGGCTAGAAAAGCTAAAACATAGCACCCAGACCCTGACCTCAAGTCTGGGTATCCACTTACATACAGGAAAAAAAAGAGAAAGAAAAAGAAAGAAAGAAAGGAAGAAAGGAAGAAAGAAAGGAAGGAAGGAAGGAAAGAAGGAAGGAAGGAAGGAAGGAAAGAAAGAAAGTAAAAGAGAGAGAGGGAGAGAAGGAGGGAGGGAGGGAGGGAGGACAGAGGGGGAGGGAAGAAAGAGGGGGGAGGAAGGGAGGGAAGGGAAGGAAGGGCTTTATGAATTTTGTGTGTGTGTGTGTATCTCGGGGCTTGAACTCTGGGCTTAGGCACTATCCCTCAGCTTTTCAGCTCAAGGTGAGCACTCTACTGCTTGAGCCACAGCACCACTTCTGGTTTTCTAGTGGTTTATTGGAGATAAGAGTCTCACGGACTTTCCTGCCCTGGCTGGCTTTGAACCTTGATCCTCAGAATCCAGCCTCCTGAGTGTGAGCATGAGCAGCTGACACCCAGCCTTTATGAAATTTCTAACTCAAGACTTACCCAAAATAAGACCAAAAACTCTTCTGAAGAAATGAAGTCACTTATACATACACACACACAAAGAAGGAAAATAACCTCTACAGAATAAGAAATTAGATTCAAATATCAAGCCAATCGGGACAAATTCTAAAAGATCTATGTGCTTTTAGTCCTCAAGTGGTAGCTCTTGATATGTCTTGGTGGACTCAGAATTACTATTTTGCATATTTGCCACTCTTCCTAACAGAAGACAAGTCAAAGTTGTTATTTTCACATGTGAGCTTTTATTTTCAGCCCTTTCCATCTGTCCTTAGCAGTTGTTACTGTTCTCTCCTGAATTTGATTTGCCTTCTGTTTCCTCATCTTCACCATCTATCTCCATGTCTCTTTCACTTGGACAAAGAGAAAAGGCTTATGGTCAAACCGCCTACTTGCCAGTCTGGTTTTTCTGGACACAGGTGAGATATTCTTGTACATCATCTGGGGACCCCAGAATGAGGGGCACCCGTTGGTGAATACTCTCAGGCTTTACATCCAACACGGGCTGGGTACCTGTGGTTGCCACACCTCCTGCCTGCTCAATGATATAGGCCACAGGATTGCACTCATAGAGGAGCCGGAGCTGTGGAGAAACAGCCAGGTGACAAAGTTTTGAAAGTAGTCAAACACCCCAAGGTATACAACTAAAGCTTAAGGACAAATCTCTGCATTTCCTGAGTCTGAGTAGCTGCCTGAGCTTTCAGCTCTACAGGAGGCTGGATGCTTCACTGCTACTCATCAAATACCTTCAGAGGCATCTTTGGTCAGGTGGATAAGAGATAATCTGTTTTTGTAACCTTTGGGCTTGATTTTAGGATATTAGACTTAGATATGTATTTCTTGTTGCTTCAGCAATGAGAGTAACTTGTTGTTTCTAGTCAGATTACTTTCCTTCCTTCCTTCCTTCCTTCCTTCCTTCCTTCCTTCCTTCCTTCCTTCCTTTCTTCTTTCCTTCCTTCTTTCCTTTCTTCTTTTTTTTTCCTAAACCCAGACTCTAACTCAATATCTGGCACTTTCATTCATCGGCTGCTGCTCTACCATCTAAGCCATGCCTGCAATCCCCATGAAAGACTATACGTAAGGCCTTATTGCTAGTAAAATGTCAATCTTGGGTGATCTGGAAGGTCACCTTGAGAGTGCTAGATAATCACAGTGATGATGTGATCTCAAGTATAACTTAGCCAAAGAGTTTGGTGGTATTTAAATAGTCTTTACTTTTGGCCCCCAAACTAAGATAAATCTCATTTGGTTGTACCCCCCCCCAAGAACATCCCCTTTTATAACAGTTAACACTAGTCTGTATAACATCTGCCTTTCTCCCTATACTGCCTTCCCTTGAGAACAAGGAGTTTGTCTGCCATGGATAGTTGTTACAGTATCTCCAAACCTAGAGTGTCTTATAAAATAAAGTGTCTGAAGAGGACATTAGATTCTTGAACAGGAGTTCTCAGCTGAGGTCTCAGAAACAAGAGTTTAAGAAGCCTGCATCTCATTTGCCACACTCTACATAAGGATCCAGGGCTGAACCTGTTCAGAGGAAGTGTCCTATAACATATCTGGAGGCTATATGAGAACTTGCAGCTCCCTGCCTTGTGTCTAAAAGCACTTGTTGAGCTGAACTGAATGAGGTCAAACAGAATGACATCCTTTGGGGTCCAAATCTGTAACTACACTGTGACATCCCCACCCCAGCCACTGGACACTCACCCACCCATCACATTAGATTCAGAGTGACATTCTTGCTGTACCCCAACTCAATGTCATAATCTCTTCTCCATTTTTCTTACCATTGAGGCAAAATGTGGTTTCCAAAATCAGCTCATTTCCTATAATTAGCTTATAGGAAGACTTTAACACAGCCTGTTCATTTTCATTCTATTTGGGGGGAGATCAAACCCAGGGATGAGCCCTACATCATTCTTTTCTTCAAGTCCATGTTGAGGATATGTCTAAAGCACTTTGGAAAATAATCACATCCTGCTGATATTATAATTATGATTTATTTCAAGGAGAGGAACAAAATGTCCTTGGTCCATGTAGATCCACACATTCCATAAATAGTAGGTTAAGACACCAGGGGTCATTTCCTATTCTTTCAGCCTAACCCTATAAAATGCCTTTACCCTAGACTGCCAACCTTCAGAGTAGTGGGCTCCTGGCAAGATGTAGAAAAGCCCCAGTGCATGTGGGCACACTTGTTTAGGCAAAGATTATTCCTGGTCACCCAGAGCAACATCAGTGAATGCTACATGGTTCTGGACAGTCTGATTGGAGAGACCTTTATGTTAGTAGCATTTCCCTCCCTGTTACCTTTTCCCTTCAGACTTCAGGGCAGGAGAAAATTGTCTACTGATTCAGATGATTAAAAAAGAAAGCTCCATATGGTCTCATAATGAACTTGTTTTGGAACCAAAATAACATTTTTCAATGATCTCAAATGTTCCACTTGGTCTCATAGTAAAAGGACTTCATGGCTGATAGATCATATGATTTACTCTATTTTTTCTGGCAGTTAAAATTTCCCACAGCTATACAGTTATAAGTTTATATGGGAGAGGATAATGTGTACACACACACACACACACACACACACACACAGAGATGTTCCAGACCAAAAGAGCTGAAATCTAGGGATCAAGAATGTTCAATACGGATAATGATTATTATTCAATCAATACAGAACTATATATGGAATTATGGAATTTCTTATAGAACATGCTTGTGTAATTTTATGTGGATACTTTCTAACTCGTTATTAATCATTTTAATGATCAGTAATATTTTTATTAATTATTTAATTATGGTAATAATTATTAGTGGTTATAATAATCATTGTTTTTATCTTCTACCTGTTGGAACTGATTGTATAGTAAGAATATTTCTTTTTTTTTTTTTGGTCGGTCGTGGGGCTTGAACTTTGGGCTTGGGCGCTGTCCTTGTGCTCTTCAGCTCAAGGTGAGTGCTCTATCACTTGAGCCACAGCGCCACTTCCAGTGAGAATATTTCTATTTACAAACTTTCAATCTTTTACTTTTAACTGACCTTACTTAATACTCTACTGTACTTTTCTTTCCTTAGTATCTCTTATGCAGACTTCTCTGGGATTCTCAGTTCAGTAAGCTAATTAATATACATGAGGTAAATGCTCTTGCAAAAAGAAATGCCTTATATATCAACCTTGATATTACAATCTTTTCTCCAGTCTCCAGTGCTCTGCCAGATTTCTTACTTTGGCTTTGAATCTGCCACCATTCTGATATCTGGAAATGCTATGACCAACTTAAATCATACACACACACACACACACACACACACACACACACATCCCGCCTGTTGTTGGTGTAACTATGGAAAATTCAAGCCTTCATTTGATTTGACTACACATCTATGTGAGTAAAATTCAAATACATCTGCATGATGTATTTAGATCACAACCAGATGGATTTGGATCACAAGATTCCCACTGGGTATTTTAGTTTTGCATCATATGCAAATAGATATACCAGAAGCTTTCCTTTCAGAACTAGTGAAGGAGTTCTGTGGGAGAATGTTTATTCTAGAGCTTAGGCTCTCTCTAGAGGAGTTTTGACACCTCTGAAGCCTTCAAACAGTTCATGTAAAGCGCATATTCATGCGCATGCTCTCTGGGAAGTGGGTTGATATATTTTTACTAGGTTATTCAAGCAGGCAATGATCTCAAATCAATTGATGGTGCTGCTAAATGTTAGACACAGCCTGTGGAAGGCAGGAATGAGTACAAGTTACTCATAGTGAATGACAAGGATGAGACTAAAGTGAGAGAAAGCCAGTAAGAGTCACCAGTCACAAGCATGGCTGATACACTTCTCCTTCGCCAAACTTCCCCTCTCCCCCACAACCTCAAAACATACTAATGGGAAAAAGACTTTGTTTCTCTTCCCCTGAGCATTCACAAACACACGTCAAGGATAATAGCCAAATAACGGATATGGAGAAGAACTCCTGCTGGATCACTGACCAGAAACCATCTAGTAGACACAGGAAAATTACCTTTCCCTTAGGACTCTTCTGGTTGGCTGGGTACATGAAGATCCCTCCATAGACCAGGGTGCGGTGCACATCAGCCACCATAGAGCCCACATACCTGGCCCCATAAGGGGCACTACCATCCTAGAGGGGGGAAAAGCAAAGAGTCAATGGTACCATTTCTGGGTTCACAAAGCCCAGTTTGTGGGCCTCTGAATACTTGGACATCTAGCCTCTATCCATGAGCTTCTAAAAACATTATATAATTGAGAATTTCATTCATTGAGGTGATTGAACTTGTTAAATGTAGTAATACTTAAAGACAGAGATAGTATTTTGCATCAATCTTAACAGCAGTTAGTGAAGAAGAGAAAAGAGGGGAGGGAAGGAAATAAGATTGGTTGAGAGAGAAGGAAAGAGGGGGAGGAGGAAGGAAAAAGTGAAAGGAGAAAGGGGCAGAGAGGAAAGGAAGAAGAAAGAAAAGAGAGAACGGAAAGAAGAGAAGAGAAAAGGGGGTTAGAGGTATGGCTCAGGTGGTAAAGTACCAGCCAATGTGAGAAAGCATCAGATACAAAGTTTGAGTCCTGGGTCTCAGACAAAAAGAGAAAGAGAAAAGGGGGGTGGATAAAAGAAGAGAAAGATAGGAAAAAGAAGGCTAGAATGAAGGGACATGGAGAAGAGGAAAGGGGAGCAGAGCAGTATAGTCAGCCCTCTACAACGACAAGGTTCCATATCAAAAGATCCAATAACTGTAGATCAAAACATTTAAAAAATTACACCTACACAGAATGCATTCAGACATTTTTCTTGCCAATACTGTCTAAACAATATAGTATTACATATAGTGTATGTGCATATTATATCCACAGGATTCTTGTTGTATCAGGAAATATAAGTAATCTAAAGATTACTTAAAGAATGTGGAAGAGATCTGGGAATGTCACTTAGTAGTAGTAGAGTGCTTGCCTAACATGCATGAAGCCCTAGGTTCTGTTCCTCAGTACCACATAAACAGAAAAAGTTAGAAGTGGTGCTGTGGCTCAAAGTAGTAGAGTGCTAACCTTGAGCAAAAAGAAGCTCAGGGATAGTACCCAGGCCCTTAGTTCAAACTCCAGGACTGGCAAAAGGAAAACAAAAAGAATGTGGAAGAATGGCCCAGTACCAGTGGCTCATGCTACTCAGTGGGCTGAGGTCTGAGGATCACAATTCAAAGCCAGCCAGGGCAGGAAAATCCAATTTGTCCGCAGAAAGCCAAGCACTAGCCTTGAGTAGAAAAAAGTTAAGGGACAGATCTCAGACCCTGAGTTCAAGCCTCAGTATAATTGCTCCCCTCTCCACCCCCACATACACACATAAGAATGTAGGAGGATGTGGGTTGTTAGTATTAAGTCATTTTAATGAGGAGTTGAGCAACAGAAGATTCTGGTGTTCAAGGTATGACTACATATTCAACCAGAGTGTTCTGGCAGCTCTTATTTGGCTCATTGATTCATGGTGCTCCAAGTTTTCTAAGAATCAGTATTCTTGAGACATCAATGACAACTTTTACACTTCCTGCAAGCAATCTTCATCCACCAGGGGAAAAAAAACTAGACACTGTGAAAGAATTCAAAGAAGTATGACAATATTTTTTTAAACCTCTGCTTCGCTAGTCACATGTAATCAAATGAATATTTGTTCAAAGAGAAATAAATCAATGGTCATGATTTTTCTCCAAGAACTGCAAAAGCAGGCAAAAGCCCAGTCAGTGACTCACCTATAACTCCCTTGTCTAACCCAATAATTCTCTCACAGTGTAAAAAAGGCAACCAATTTCACAGGACCTTCCAATATTTCACATTCTCACAGAGCCTAGAACTAGCTCAGCATCTAATACATGAGTGCTGACAAACTAAGACAAATTTCCAAATAAGAACTTTGGCAAAAGAGGCTTTATGGGCTTTGAAGACTTGCACACAAGTCTGACTTGCTCAGCTACAGAAACTATGAAACAATAGCTGTTATTTTAAGCCTCCAAATTTGGGGTACTCTTTTATGCATCAATAGCTCATATACTTGAACAGTTCTGCTAGCAATATTTTCTAAATATAAGCAAAAATTTTATCAGAAACATAATATTTAAAATACAACTGAGTATCAGTGGTTCACGCCTGTAATCCTAGCTACCCAGGAGGCTGAGATGTGAGGGTTGTGGTTCAAAGCCAACCTGGCCAGGAAACTCCATGAGACTCTTATCTCCAATAAACCATGCAGAAAACCAGAAGTGGCACTGTGGCTCAAGTGGTAGTGTGCTCACCTTGAGCTGAAGAGCTGAAGGATAGTGCCCAAGCCCGGAGTTCAAGCCCCATAACCAACAACAACAACAAAAATACAGTCACTGGCAATACTAACATTATAAACTTCAAATTTTAGAACTTTCACCTGCATTCACCCTCCAGCAATGAACAAAGACTTTGAACCAAACATTGCTTCACTGTATTTCTTTTGCTTGTCTTCTAGCTGATCTGATTAATCCCTCAGGGACTTCTTTGGGTCTAGTTCCTCTGAGACAATGTTTATTTCTGAATTCCTGTAGTCTTCATCCTGCTATCCAGCTTTCTGATATGGTCACTCATTGATAGCAAACACAAACACACACCATGTGTTGAGTCAGCTTCTCCACTTGCTAGCGCCAGGATCCTACACAAATTGCTCAACTCTGCTTCTTGGATTTAGTAGTAAGATGAGAGTACTAATATCTCACAGAACTTCCAAGAGAACTAAATGAGCTACTCTAGTTAGCACAGGATCTGATGCAAACTAAAGACAAGGATGGATGGCAGACATCCTTTGTTACATCAACCTGTAATTAGACAAAATGCTTTGGAGGAGGAAGGTGTCTTCCTAGTCCTCCTGTCCACTTCCATTGTCATCCCAAATGAAGTCTTGAGAAGCCATTTGTGTGGTGTGGGGCTCTAGCCTGGAGATATAGTTAACTGACAAAGGAAGGTCTCCAACCACTAGGGGCAACAATTGAATTTAAGAAAAATACTCCTGAAAATACTGTTTTTTGGTCAGAAACAACTGGAACAGAGGAGACTGACAGTAGGCCACTTATGTGGCTCTGGGCCCTCCAAATGAAAGAAAAAGAAGGGACATTTGAAAGCAGGCAGAGGAACAAAGGAAGTGGCAATAAAGACAGTATAATGAGTAGTGTGGGGTTCCTGTCCTAAAGTTCTTATAATACTCAAAAGGGAGTTTTAAACTCTCTTTTTGTTTAGATGAGTTTGCATTGGCCTTTGTGAGTATAATAAAAGATTCCTCAGAGTAAAATAGAAAGTTCTTTTTTAAAAATCTCCTCTTTCAAAAACAAAGGAGGAGGTAACAATGCTAGATAGGAAATGTACTCATTACCTTACTCATGTAACTGTAACCCCTCTCTACACTATTTTTACAATAATAAATTTATTTAAAAAAAATCTCCTCTCTCCCCCAGTCAGAAGAATCCTCTTCCTTCTATCTATAGATAAAACATCAGGTGATCCCTCTCCTCTGTAAAAGAAAAACACCTGCAGTTTTATAAAAATTAAAATGTCCCAGGCACTGGTAGCTCATGCCTGAAATCCTAGCTAATCAAGAATCTGAAATCTGAGGATTATGGTTCAAAGCCAGCATGGGCAAAAAAGTCCCTGAGATTATTATATCTTCTTTACCACCAAAAAGCCAGAAGTGGAGCTGTGGCTCAAGTGATAGAGTGCCAGTCTTGAGCAAAAATGCTAAAGAACAACACTTAGGCCCTAAGATCAAGCCCCAGTATTGCCACACAAAAAATATTTTAAATGTTGCTATAAAACAAGGTTAATCATGAGGAAACACCAGACAAACCTAGACTAAGACATACTGGAGGATTCCATGGGAGAATGATTCTAGACCATCAAGGTTACACGAAGAAAAAAGAAGAAGAAGAAATTATCACAGAGACTGGGGAAATCTGCCCATGAGACTCCATGTGGTATACTACAGGTATAATAACCTGAGTGGCTTTCTCTCAAGAAGCCCACACTTACACTAAGGGTGAAATTTCATTGTGTGATAAGACTTCCTCCTGATTTCTTACTTTTATCTTATCTCTGAGTTCTTTTCCTCGTGGTGGCAAACCTAGAAACACTGTGTATATGTCTCAATCTGGTCTATCTTAAAGATCTCCTCAGCCTTCACCACTGCCAACTATTGTGCAAGTCCCACTTGTGCAGAATACCGGTTACAAGATGAAAGCCACATGTTCTGTTTGACTAAAATGAACCTATGCTTGATTTAAGGAATGCACTTTCATTTCACTTTATTTTTTTTACTGTCTTCATTCTAAATGTGTAGATTAATTTTAAGAACTGGTGAAATGCCCAGGAAACTAGCTGTCAAAGGGAATTTCAAGACTGTGGGTAGAAATCATTAACACATCATAAAATACACACAAATGTCACTTATTACTACCAGGCTCATAGTAACTAGAACCGTAAATAACAGAACTAACCTTTCCCACAAGAACGCAAAGCTTCTACCAAATAGGAGTCTACAGAGATACCATTCTCCCTGCTTCTGGTCTAGGATTTCTTCACTTACCTCAGGGAATTTCTTCTTCTGCACATATTCAGTGGTGGCAGCATCAAAATACTTGGCATAGCCCTCATTGAGGCTGTAAATCTTTCCTTTTTTCTTAATCTTAACATCTTTTTCCACCAGCACAAATTCACCAAGAGCCTAAAAGAGATGATGAGAGATTTCAGGAAAGAGAGGTTCCAGGAAACAAAAGCCAACAGCACAACCCAAAATAGTCAAAGGGTGATGGGAGACGAATCCAGGGCTTTCCAGTGGTCACCCTGGAGCTTGCCCTGTCATAGAAAAGAATTGCTATAATATCAAGTCTTCATACTAAGTCAAGTGTACTAGAATAGAAGTAAAATAATTCAAGGAGGAAAGACCATAGTCCCTTTTTTACCCTCCCAATGTCAACTCATACAAAAAAAAAAGGATGGGGTGTACCTCAAGTGATAATGTGCCAGCCAGCCTAACAAATGCAAAGCCCTGAGTTCAAACTTTAGTACTACCAAAGTGAGTACAAAGAGATTGCATACATACATGCATGCATACATACATACATGAGATACATAGTTGTATTGATGTGTAAAATAATCTAGCAAATTTTTATTCCCAGTTGAATGTTTTCAGGAAGATTTGTACCTTCAATAATGACAGAAAGAGTGCTAGAAAATGTCAGATTGCTGACAGTAATAGCTTAAAGGAAAAGCATGCCAGAGGAGGATGCCAGCAAAAATATAGACAGACAGTGGCTAGTGAACATCAGAATTACTGAGCAAAGAAAGAATTTGGCAAAATAAAAGAAAGAACTTGGCTAAATCAAATGGAAACTGAAACCACCCCATGGGCAGGTGAAAGGGACCCAGGTGACCATTATAGTGCTGATGATTCCTTTTGTTTTATTCTTTCTCCCTCCAATCATGTTTCTGGCAATAGCTAGACACACCAGCTATAGAGTGAATAAAACATCTATGTGGAGATAATCCAGCAAAAAGGCAGAAACAACAGACTGGTGTCTGTATCCCTCATGATGCACCTATGCTCGACCAAAGTTTAGACCTGAGTGCCTTGCCCCATGTGAAGAACCCGGCTAGATGGGCAGCTAAAAGTTCCATGTACCAGCTGGGAATGGTGGCTCATGCCTGTAATCCTAGCTACTCAGGAGGCTGAGATCTGAGGATCTCGGTTCAAAGCCAGCCCGGGCAGGAAAGTCCGTGAGACTCTTATCTCCAATAAACCACTAGAAAACTGGAAGTGGCGCTGTGGCTCAAGCAGTAGAGCACTTGCCTTCAGCTGAAGAGTACAGGGACAGCGCCCAGTCCCAGAGTTCAAGCCCCACAATCTACCAAAAAAAAAAAAAAGAAAGAAAAGAGAAAAAGAAATACAGTGGAAAGCTTCTCTAGGAGGGCAGATAAAGTGAAAGACAGCATTTCAGGGTTTGAGGACAAAATAGAGATGGTAGAAAATATATATGAAAAGAAAAAAAATTTTCAAAGAAGCAAAAAGAACTTGAAAGGAGACCAAACTTAGGAATCATAGTACACAAACAGAAGAGAAGAGGTGCTAGCTAAAGACATACGCAACATAGCAACATATTCAATGACATAATAGAAAAAAAAAGCCAAAACTTCCCACATCTTGAAAAAGAGAAGCCTATCTGGATAAGGAGACTTTGAAAATACATTGTAGTAGACAAAAAAAAGAACTACTTCATGGCATATTGTAGATAAAGCACTGAGTACATAGAACAAGGAAAGAATATTGAAATCTGCAGGAGATTTGGCTTTTCTCTCTGTTCCTTGCAGTACTATGCAAAATAGCCAAGCTATGGAAGTAAACTGACACAGAAAAGGATCTTGGTCTAATGGATTTATATGCAGAAAGTTTATATCTGAAAAGTTACTGGGTTCCATACTGTAGTGTGTGTGTGTGTGTGTGTGTGTGTGTGTGTGTGTGTGTGTGCATGAAGCCCAGATGCCTTACAACTAATGAATGGACAAGAAAATGTGCCATATGTACACAACTGAGAATTATTAATCCATAAAGAAGAATGAAATATAATTTACAGGAAAATGGATGAATCAGAACATCATCATATAAAGTAAGCCAGGTTCAGAAAGACAAAGTTGACATATGTTCTATCATATATGAATACTAGATCTAAACAACAAACACGTATATAGAACACATACAGAATTATATATAATGTGACCCACTACATGTAGTTATCAATTTAAAGGCTGATATCTAAGTCACTAGGACAAAAATTAAGGCCTGGAAACTGGACCTCTTTTGAGACCTATTGAAGACTTTGGGAATGTGTAAACTCTTGAGACAGTACCTACAAGCTGGCAGCTAGACTGGAAGTTGCTCAAGGAACTTGTTTCAAACATGATCAATGTAGTTTTCCAAGAACATAGAGACAAAGCCACATTGATCATGTTTGAAACAAGACAGTGACAAGGTCTCCCAACAAATTCAAGAAGTCTCCAACAGTTCCTCTCTCCAGTCTAACAGGAGTGATGAGTATCTGTGTTCACTGTACCCTTCCTGCCTCCCATAGAAAACTCATTGACACCTGCTCCTAAACTTCATCTGAACAAACCCTCTCTTCTTCATATCCCTTTAGATTTATCAAAGTCCATGACAGTAATAAGCATATCCAACTCCCTCTCAAGGTGGTGTTCCACATTCCTTTTCAGTGTGGTCCCTTACCTAGAAAACCAGTTCTTCTTTTGTGGTGCCAGCCCTGGGGTTTGCACTCAGGGTCTAGGTACTATCCCTGAGCTGCTTTTGCTCAAAACTAGTCCTCTACCACTTGAACCCCAGCTCCACTTCCAGGTTTGTTTTTTTTGGGGGGGTGGGAATGGGTAGCTTATTGGCAGTACAAGTCTAATGGACTTTCTTGCCCAGGGTGGTGATCCTTAGATCCTCAGATCTCAGCCTCTTGAGTAGCTTTGCAGACATGAGCCACTGGCACCCAGCTACTTCTTTCTGTGAAACTTTTTTTTTTTTTTTGGTCAGCCGTGGGGCTTGAACTCTGGGCCTGGGCGCTGTCCCTCAGCTCTTCAGCTCAAGGCGAGCGCTCTACCACTTGAGCTACAGCGCCACTACCCAGCTACTTCTTTCTATATTCCCAATAGTCTTTGGTTTCTGAACTTTCATCAGCCACTCTGGGCATTTGTTGTGTTGAAGTGGGCTGGCTGTGAGTTCTGCTTCTTAAAAACATCCTTTTAAAATTAGTCTCATGAAGGTTGTATGTTAGTGTAAATGGGTGAAGAAAGAGGTTATAAAATCCCCAAAACAAAATAGAGTTAGGGCTGGATGCCAGTGGTCTATAATCCTAGCTACTTAAGAACCTGAGTCCTGAAGATTGCAATTCGAAACCAGGCTGGGCAGGAAAGTCGATGAGATTCTTACTCCAATTAACCACCAAAAAGGTGGAAGTAGAGCTGTGGCTCAAGTGGGAGAGCATTACCCATGAGCAAAAACTGCTTGGAGACAGCACCTAAGCCCCAGGATTGGTGCACATGCACATGCGAGCACACACACACACACACACACACACACACTCACACACACACACACACACACTATAATATAGAACCCAGTAACTTTTCACCAATCCAGAGATGGCAGTTCTTCCTTTTTTTAAAAAAAATGTTGTTTTATTGTGAAAATACTGTATGGAGGGGTTACAGTTACATGAGCAAGGTAATGAGTACATTTCTTATCAAGCATTGTTGCCTCCTCCTTTGTTTTCCTTATTATCCCTTCCCTCCCATCTCCACAACTACACTCCCCCCCAGCCTAAATTCATTTTTCCACATAGCATCTTGTACATTTCATTGTAGCAATGGGTCAACCTGTATCCCTATTTAAACAATTTGTTTTTCTCATTCCCCTCCCCAAATTATACCAACATCAAATACAGTGAAAACAGGGGTTATACTGTGGGGGAGGACAGTTCTTCCTTTTCTAATGCTGAATATTTTGTCACTGTGGACAATGGAGAATTAGACAGAACCTCAGAGGACAGTTTTCTTTCAGATATCCTTCCATCTAAGATGTCTTCCAGAACCTTACTGCCCACAAGGGCAGCCATCAGTCACATGAGGCTTCTTTATTACATTTTTTTGGGGGGGGTTCGGTCGTGGGGCCTAAACTCTGGGCCTGGGCGTTGTCCCTCAGCTCTTCAGCTCAAGGCTAGTGCTCTACCACTTGAGCCACAGCGCCACTTCCAGCTTTTATTTCTTTTTGCTTATGTGGTGCTGAGGAATCGAACCCAGAGCCTCAGGCATGCAAGGCAAGCACTTTACCTCTCAGCCACCTTCCCAGCCCCTCAGACTTCTTTTTTAATTCTATTAATTTTTTTGTATTTATGTGGTCCTGAGGAATCAAACTCAGGGCCTCATGTATGCTAGGAAAGCATTCTACCTCTAA